CGCTGTTAAGTCATTTGCTGTTTGGAGGTCTAAGTTATAATGAAGCACTTATAAGCGGATCCTCTAGGTCTTGAATTCTATTAAATGGTTTGGGGCGAGGCTGCCTAACCAAATGATTTTGAATTTCCACCAAAGTTCTGTGTCGAATCGCGGTCAGCTAGCCAGAATGCAAGCTATTTCACCTGCGATGCCGTGAACTGAATCCCCTCAATTACACCAAGTGTCATCATTACTATCCACTTGATCTGGTCGGCTGTATAAGCCGGTAGTAGTGCACGGCGAGGTTCTGAAGATTCATTGTGGCCATGTTAATTCATCTCCATCCCGAACCTTTCCAAAAATGTGAACCTGGGGCCACAACATGCCAAACGTAGGGATACGATCAGTTTGAAGGTCGGTTAATGTGTCAGTAGAAATTTCTTGGCTGATTGTGAGTGCCACGACCAAAAGCTAAGGACCTCATTCTCCTGAACCTGAAAAAATCACCAACAGGGCAGCGTTAATTGCCACCACGAGAAAGGCTACGACAACCTCCGGGATCAAAAGGGAGGTCTATAAAGTGGTCCAGCCACCTCCGTAGTCTTTGCATAATCATTTATTGTCGTTGTAATTAATGGCAGTGAGTAGTTTTGCCGTTACATGATTCATTTCGTTCTAGGTTGATGAAGAAATTCTAACCTCCATACTTGGCGAGGAGAAAAGCTCAAGTGATAACAGCTTCGACTATCGGTGAGTTCACTATGCTGATAAAGTAACTCGCAGAGTCACCTCTGCACCAATCGTCTCGCAGCATCGCACGCGAGTAGGACGTATTTTCTAAACAGGAAATAACTCTGGTTTCACCGCTTCATTTCACGCAACTCTGGCCGCACGCAGCCTCACTGCACCAGCCTGCGATAAAATCGCCGCGCTTGGAGGTGTTTCCTCACCGCGTGTGTTGACACACCTCCAAGTGCGAACACTGCAGCGAATTCTAATTGTTTCTGCTCGTCTTCGTAGTAAGCTACTCCAGGCATTGGATTCTGCTCAAGAGTAATCATGGGGGCTAAACACGCTATTATTTGCATGAATTCGAATGAAAGTTAAAGACGTGGCGCGTACCAAGAAAAGAATTTCTTGTTGCTACATAGAACATAGTAAAAGCCAAACACGTTTCAGATATACTTGCTGGCTTTGGATCGGTGTCATTTTCACCAACGGGCAATTCCTCTACCGTGTCGGCTATCTGCTTTGCTCGGCTTGTGGAGTGTTCATTTCGCCTTTCTTCTACGCATTCCATCTGATCGACGTTGTACTCTCTTTCCCTATGTTAAAAGCAATTCTTCAATCTGTTACTCATAACTTACAACAGGTGAGGAGCTTACCAAATTTATAGTAGCTTCGCGAGGATTTCTCACAAGTTCTGCTTCAACGTCACACAAGCCTACACCCAATAAGCAGCTTCGTCAAAACTTAGTCTTTTCATAAAGCCTCTTAACTAGGTCAATCTCTCGAGCTAGGCAGGTGAAGTCACCAGGTAGACGAGGATCTGGCCATCTATAATGGGCCCTATGGTTTTGTTCACTGCGGATGTTGGGACATGTCGAAGGGGAGGGAGGGGAGGATGAGTTGGGCGCGGCACCAGCCCGTTTTTTTGTGCATGCAAGAAGATTATTATATCGCTCGTATAGTCGTTTCCTACCAGCTGCTATCACTTACCCGCTTTCAACAACTATTGGAGAACGAGCTGGCGGTGCGCTAAACCCCGCCCCACTGACACGCCCCTCATCCGCACTGTACAACACTATATCTGCGAACTTTCTAACGCTGGTGGTGAATCTGCCAAACGACTCTCAGACACTTTGTTCAGTTTCGGCTTATCTTCGTCGTTTACGCCTTTTTCGGGAGCCGTAATTAGAAGCACTGAATATCCAAGATCTACACGCAAACACGGCACAAACGGTCCTTGAGGAGTTTCATATAGTTTCTTCACAGATGCCTCTTAATAGCCCTAGTGTTGCTTTTTGACCACTCTTCCTGCACACAGCCATGGTGAATGTGCTGTAATGATGGTTACATCCTTTTCGTAATGACTTCTTGCAGTTAATAACTTGGAGTCAGTCTGGGCGGTGCCAGAAGGCATGGAATGAGCCCATTTGCGGCGCTTTCCTACCACTGGCTGTATTCTTGCTGAGTCGATCACTACTGGTGGGAAGCGCAGCCAGGGCGGGCTCATTCCTCATTCTCCTGACACCGGTAGCCTTGGTGTGAATATGTAGGTTGTCATGTGCTAATTTCCGCTTGCTTGTGGCTAGAAAACAACCTTACTGGAATTTTACCCTCTCCACGATTCCTTCCAGCTGCAGGCGCAGTATGTAAGATGGATTAAATACTATAACTTTGCAACTGGTGTTTGAGAAAGATTGCAGGGCTTCTAAACAATAGTACATGGCAACTGTCAACTGATATCTTTTCAGTTGATCCTCACCATCATGATGGTTTTGGTGGTTGTGTATCTGTATACAGTAATCGCATTCAATTTCTTCCGAAAGTTCTTTGTTCAAGAAGGTGAAGATGGTGAGGAACCGGATCGCAAATGCCACAACATGCTCACGGTAATGTATCACACAGTACTTGATAAATTTACAAAGTTTTTTTCTGAAATGCAGGTTTGAAAGATTAAGCCAGAAAAAAAAAGACAGAGCATCTCTGGTAGCGTAGTGGAGGCTAATAGTCCGCTGCTGCGCAGAAACCTTTTTTGAAGTAATCCGTATTCGCCTCTGTCTTCATTTTGCTCCAGAACTGCTATTGGACTGGACTTCATTCGTAATAATCCGTTTTTCAGTGTTTCATCTACCACTTCTACGCTGGTGTGCGAGCTGGTGGGGGTATTGGAGACGAATTAGAATCACCATATGGAGATGAACTCGAATACCCACGAATGTTCTATGATATCTCGTTCTTCTTCTTTGTCATCGTTATTCTTGTTGCCATCATGCAAGGTACAACTACTTCTTTACTGTTACTTCACAAAGATGAAAAAGTGATGTGAGGCACGCCCTTCCCTGGAAGTCACGCCTCTTCCTCCATGCATGTGTTTCAAGAACGTCGATATTATGCTTCACCGTTCCAGGTTTGATCATCGATGCCTTCGGTGAACTTCGTGATCAGCAAGAATCAGCGACAGAAAAACTCGAATCGTCATGCTTCATTTGTGACATTGGCAAAGAGACATTCGATCGATTGCCAAGAGGATTCGAAATCCACACTACCAAGGAACACAACTTTGCCAACTATCTGTAAGTGCTTTGGTTTTCAACAATTCGGAAATGCTATCCACTCGTGTAGAGGCTCTCCGCCTTTGAATTTCCTTCGTTGTAAAATACCAACTTCGGTTGCTGGGGGCGGGGGAGGGGGGGTGTGCAGACTGTTTGGCCTCGCAACCAGGCACAACATTGGGATGCGTGGATCGGCAGTGTCAGTGCGATCCCCGGAACTTCCTCTTTCAGTGTCGACCCGCCCCCAAATTTACTCCTCCAAAATGATCTGCGCTCTCACAGCTACCTTATTACCTTACCAGTTTCCTCCGGCCCTTGCCAGCTTTTTCGAAATCTTACTAGAGATATAGGGCGCTTGATAGGTAAAAAGCAGCAATCGCAGGGTTTTTTTCTAGTGGAATTTTCTATTTTTTTCGCTTAGAGGGGCCCTTTTTTTGTTCTCTCAAGGCAGGAACTACCCCTTCCCCAAAGCGACCAGGGGCGATTTCGCAAAAACCTCCTAGCGATGTTGACCACTTCTTGCTCCGCTGATCTTTTCTAAACAATCACTATTGAGTTGATGAACTCTGGTGCGGTATAGAGGGAAGGGAGGGGTGGAAAAATAAGGAGTGCTGACAATTGAGGTGGGTCACGCCGCTCACCAACTGCAGATCATTGGATACCGTCGCTGTAGAATGCATGGTGCGTCCCCAGAGGTATACTCGAAAGATCCCTGAGATCGGGTAGGCGTGGCTGCATTCCTCAAGCATACCTGAAATGGAGTCTCATGCTTCTGGTGGAATTCCAAAAGGATATCCTTCAGTTCATCTCACAACTATTTCTGTTCTCTGTCCAACAAACATGACAGTTTGTCGGCAGACTTAATATTCCGCGAGGCAACCAATTCCGTGAATCGCACGCCTAAGTCTGCTGCAGGGCTAAGGAGTGTGTAAACGTCGTTTTATCAGAGACAGGCGCATCAAAAGTGCATTCATTCGCAAATAAGATGAAGGTCTGCAGTATCATTTTGGCACGATCAGGTCATACTGATTATTATTGCACATACTGACATCGTTCGAAAGCAAGGCAGGCCAAGAGACAAGAGTTGAAGTTAGAGCAGTGCAAATTGTAAGATTATCGTTTGTCTTAAACCACCTTGTTTTAACCAACAGAGTCAAGAATCGCAAGTTTTGTTTTCAGATTCTTCTTGCAACACTTGGTTAATAAAGACGACACTGAATACACAGGTCAAGAAACATACGTTCGAGAGAAATATGATAATAGGTTTGTGCCCTTTCCAATTAAGTTTTTCCGAATACTTAGAGAAATGTGGTAGTACTGAGTGTGCTTCTAATTTTTAACGACCCATACAAGTTAGTAACCTCGTCATCCGGGCAGTTGATTAGGGCGGTCGTCAACGGGCCGCAGCGCGTGCCAGGAACTATTTGCTTTTCCAGGCTAATTTAGTCATTTTTTCCACCTTGTGAAGATAAGGAGCTGCTAATCTGGGAGTAGCCAAAACAGTGAAAAGTTGGAAAAAATGACTAAATTAGCCTGGAAAAAGCAAATAGTTCCTGGCACGCGCTGCGGCCCGTTGACGACCGCCCTAATCAACTGCCCGGATGACGAGGATATATTTGCAATGGCGTAAGTGTAACACAGAACATCTTGATTTACTTTGAGGGACGGGCGATAAGGTCGTTCAGTGCATAGAAGTAATCGTAGAACATCTCCCAAGAAACACAGTAGACTCAGTAAAGGTCAAATGGTCACTGAATAACAATGTGTAAGCAAATGGATGTATTCAGAGCGAGCATAAGGAATACCCACCAGATTTAGTTCTGTTTATGACCTGATAATGTTCGGATGGATTTATACTTCGCGATGATGGCGTGGTTGTGCGAATACCCTTTCAAAACGTTCCAATGCTGTGGCTAGCCGTAGACGGGTATCGATCGACGCGACCGCTAGTTTTTTTGGGAGAGTATGGGAGATTACGCTCCTAAGGGTGGCAGAGATGCTGTAGTGGCAAGCAGGGGGCAGCGCTTACCGTCGCGTCCATGGTTCAAATCTCGGTCGACTCGCCGCCGCATGACCAATCAAGCCTCCTACCTCGCAAGGATGGTAAACTGGTACCAGATTCGTGTGGGAGGCTAAGAACACTGACTTGTACATCTGCTGCCCACCCCCGCAAGTCATTGTATAGGCCACATCGCATTCAATAAGCCATTACAGTTCTGAATGGAAATAGTATGCCTCGCGCATCCGATGAAGGGATTGGCCAGAGGCGAAGACTTCATCCTTTTATCCTTTTTGGGAGAATAGGGGAGTACCAGGCTGTATGATTACGTCTCACGCAACAGAAATGTCTGCTGAACGGTCGCAAAACAGCAATATCGCTGTTGTTCGACCCTTAATGACGCAGCTTGATGCTTTCCTATTCTCCTTAACTCTCCAAAACACTAACGCGCGCAGCCTGGTTCTCTTCTACTCACCCCCACTCCCAAAACATTGGAGCCGGCGCCGATCGATAGCTGTTTATGAAGGCGCTCCCACCTAGGGTTGCGGGACTGACGTGCGTCTATCGCAAAGTTCCTGGGCAGCAGTCCTCCAGCAAGAACTTAAAATGGCCAATCGAACATTTCGGAGCAGCGGGCGAGCCAGTTGGGCTGTCGCTGTCATTGCATGGGTCGCGTTGAATCTGGCGCGAGGGAGGAGATTTCACATGAAAATTGGAAGTTGAAACATGCAGTGTTTGATATATTGGAAGGTGAATGAGTAGTTCCACATATGTTCCTTTCTCCGTTCGCAGACCGTTCATGGAGTCACTTAGACATGAGCTACAATCATAGACACACTCACGTAGCTATTCAATAAGAAGCGTACGCGGATTCTAAAGCCCCCGTCGTACGAAACCTTATGTCGGGTTTTTTTTTGAGTTTTTAGAATCCTTCATGAGCAAAGATAGAAATTTCTAGGACATAATTCTAGTGCGACAGGGTTACTGGGTAGTTCAGAAGGGTGTAGTGCTAGCAAAGAAGGTGCGCGGTAGTTCACTTTAGAACTGAAGGCAAATATGACGACGAAAATATCTTTATTTCCATGTGATAACAAGAATCCTAGAAACACCAATGCTAGAGCAACTGAGTGGGTGCAATAGGATAACTGTTCCACATAGGTGCATTTGAAGTATGTACAAGTTCCAGAAAATATGTTTTGTGTTGTAGCACAGACATTCGTGATGTGGCGCCCTAAACAAGTTTGGGTGTGATCGCAGTTTTCTTTTGGATTCTAGGATAAACTGTTACGGTTAAAAACGTGGATAAAGAAGTGTGGGAGGAACTTCTGAGATTCCAGAAAACTAGAAGGAAGTCCTGTAAAATTCCCCCAATTTGAAGTATGTTCCAGGGTTTCATAGCTCTCGATTGTATCATTTCCTACAAATCAAATGATGTTCTCGCTCCTACGAATGTCTCGTGTATCGTGACCTAATCGCTTCCCAGTGCAATGACCGCGACGCGACCACTCGCCCGCTGTCCGAAAATGTTCGTTTGGATTTAAGTTCTTCTCAGTTTCCACAACTCAGTGACCTTGTGAACGCAGCCTTCACATTCGGTGACCTCTTGAACGAAGCCTTCACATTCAGTGACCTATAGTTCATAACATCCAACGAGTCGGGGGCGGCGGGAGCAGCGCGGAATGAACCCTGCCTTCTCCTCCCTTGCTCTACCAATGGCGATCGAGTAGTGATCGGAAGAAAACAGCCAGTCGTGGGAACGCTGCAGGCGGGTACCGACTGATTGCGACTCGACTGGCTGGATATAAACTGTATCTGAATCCACGTTAACTATGTTCGGTTATTTTCAGAGATTGGGACTTCTTCCCCGTCGGTGAATGCTTCGTGAAACAGTACGAAGACCAACTGCTACAATCGTAAGGGTCTGATGTTGAATACAAGTAGACAGTAGTTAGAATCAACGAGACTTCTCACCAGTTCATAGGTCGTTATCTCATTCTAGTCCGGTAAATCATGTGCAAAACCATTCTTCTAGTCTGCAGTAGTCGTATACCGAGAGTTTTACCAGTCTAGCGAAGTTGACTAAATCTATCGTTATCGGTATACTACAAAATTTGCTCAATACACTGCTCATCAAATTTGTGCTCTTCTCGAAAAAGAACGAACAAAGCTTTAATATACCTAACACTGTGTGCCTTTATTTTCGTAGATTGTAATAAAATATTTCGAATTTATTGTTGTTGTTGTTGTTGTTGTGTAATCAAGTACTATATTGCTAAAGCGTATCAAGCGTCAGTGTTAAATTCCAAGTTAATCTGATTATCTGGGTCCAGAAGCCATCTGAGAAGAGGTTAACACCCATGTACAGCAATGTGTGGGAAACGGAACCTTGGGAAGCGGTCGTACTTGAACTAGGGGGAGATTGGTGAGAAGGGGGGGGGGGGTTAGGTATACTCCTTTGACGAAGAAAATATCTAGGTGGGGAAAATTTTTCCGCTTGGTTGACTTTTCGCGATTGTTTTTCCCCAATTCGCTATTTACCCCTCCCCTATGTGGGTGGCGCACCGAGCTACTATATAAATACTATTTTCTACTAGTTTGAAAAATAGATCAGATGTCGCGGAAAGTTCTGCACGTTGTGTTACTATTTGTTTGAACATTCATTGCTGATAAAACTCAGACTCCCTCTGCGTCTCCTGTGAGTACATTCCTGAGAGAATCTTGCGCCAGTTATCTGATGGTATATCTGCGCGTTTCGACATTAGCGTTAATTGACCATCTCTTTTTTTCAAGATTTTTTCAAGCATGTGAAAAGAGCACTTCGGACGATTTTTTTCTTCGACTATAAATTGGGCAATCCGCAATCGAAACAGCTCAACAAATTAACCAGGTGTGGGGGCCCAATAGTGCTAGAGAAAGCACTGCTGCGCAATGGTTCAGACAGTTGCGTTCTGAAGTATTCAGCGTGAAGATGAAGCCTAATGGCAGTCGACCCTTAATAGGCCAACTATTGACGGATGATTTTCAGGGCGATTTGGGAGCTGACCCATCCCAAACAGTTCGAGAGATTGCAGAAAAGCTAGGCGTTGGCAAATCCACTGTTGCAGATGGTCTGGAACGCATTGGGAAGGTGAAAAAACTCGATAAGTGGGTGGCCCAATATTGATTGACCGGCAGAAATTGGCACGTCTCGAGTTTCTCTTCACTGCTTTTGCGCAACAGAAACGACCCATTTTTGGGACGAATTGTCACCTGTGATGAAAAATGGTCATGTATGATAACAGGAGACGTTCCGGACAGTGGCTGGATTTCGACGAACCACCGAGGTAATTTTCAAAGCCGAACCCTCACGAAAAAAAAGATTCTGTGCGTCAATGTGTGATCGGCATGGGCTGTGTGATCCACATTAAACTTCCTATCAACCAGGCCAAGTACCACACAGCCAGTAAACGCCTACTGGCTGAATGACGTACAATGTCACAAAATTCGTCAGCTGCAGCCAACACTTATGAAGAAGAAGGTCGATTCTCTGCGGCATTGACACGCCCGATAACACGTTTCACAAATCGCATGCCAAAATTGACATGACTGAAGGTTGAAGTTCTTACACCTCACCGCCATATTCTCAGACCTTTCCGCCAATTCGACTATCACTTTTCAAATATTTCAAAACTCCTCTTCTGCTGAAAAATATCAGGACCAGGCAAAAAAGCCTTCGTGGATTTCGTGAACTCTCGACCACCCAGTTTTTTTTTTCTTTAATGGGATTTCTCGACTGCTGTCCGTACATGGCAAAAGTGCTGACTGATTCGAATGGTGCTTATTTGGAATTGAATCCGATGAGTTTAATAAAATATTCTATCACAAGAATGCTGAGTTATGGGCAAAAGTCGTGCCCCAGGCGGGAGTCGAACCCGCACCTCACGCTTTCCGGGCGAGTGCGCTATCCGTTACGCCACCAGGGCCTATTTCACCCTCTCAGCTTAACGGCTTATGCCGTAGCCTTACAGCACTCACCATACCACTCAGCATTCTTGTGATAACTTTCGTAACGCGTACTGCGGCGTAAAACAGCAGTTATCTAACAAAACAGCTTCAAAAACTTGTAAAGCCTTCGGCCTCGCGGTTCCATGCCGATATCTAACGATTACGGCTGACCGGCTCACCAAGTTAAACGTGTGAGTGCTGTAAGGCTACGGCATAAGCCGTTAAGCTGAGAGGGTGAAATAGGCCCTGGTGGCGTAACGGATAGCCCGGAAAGCGTGAGGTGCGGGTTCGACTCCCGCCTGGGGCACGACTTTTGCCCATAACTCAGCATT